TTTAGTTAGTTTTAGTATTGAGTTGTAGTGTGTATTGGTGTCATCCAGAACCAAAGGATTATTTACCCTTTTACAACATACATACATATGTACCTCATTATGCAAATTTAAAATTCATTGTAACTGCATCTAGCTATTATATGATTTCAACTGTCAATATATCGAAAATGCAATCACATTTAAATAAACAATGGTATGCCATTATATTCACATACGAGTACTGTTTTTGGTTAAAAGTCCGACAAATACACATAAACATAATTGCGGAGTAATTTCATTATGTAGGGAAATTAAAATTCCAGTAGAACGTATTCTATACCAAAAATTTCACCGAAATTTTTTTCATAAGCATCATGACATGATGTTTACATTACAATTGACCTTGTGATTGTAATTTCTAAGAATATTGCATTTAAATTTACGACCGTATAGTTTTACTGAATTTATCTAACATTGCTAACTATCAGAAGTCATGATCCAACTTTGTTAACGATCTCTGCATCAAAAATTGTTTTCAGGAGTTTTATCGTTATTATAATCAAATCACCTATGTCACTGAGCATCCTTTTTGCCAACTCGTACCAATAGGACGCCTGCGGAACATTGCAACTTATGTATATAATGTCACATCTGTATGACAAGCACGAAGGATTGAAGGTCAAATCTCAATCGAAAAGTTTATAATATGGTACAGTACTTCATCAATTATATATTTTTAAATAAACAATGCCACAATTAAAACCTGTGTATTGCAAGGACATTAGTCATTTTGATATAAAGTTAAACCTAATAATTTAATGTCTGGGAATTTCCTGTGATAAATAAACACCATTCTCACAACAGACTTAAACTTTAATATGAGCGAGATTCGTTATGATGTCACGTGGGCTGTGTTTCATAGAGTATGTGTGTTATCAGCTGACGAAAATAATTATCAAGAAGTCAAAGCTGATATAAAAATATTTGAATGCACTATTAATCAATATAAGAATTTGACACTTTCAGAAAAAGATTATCTGATTTATCAATTTAGTCTTCTAGTTGATAAAGTTAACATTTCTAATAAAAAAAGTAAACAAAGAGAATGCGAAAATTGCCAAAATTGGACTTATGCTCAACAGTACTGTGAATATTGTATAAGAAATTATTTATTAAATAATTTCAATAATTGGTCCTCTGGTAATATTGAAATCGATGAGCTAATTCGTGAATGTCAATTAAATACACAGAGACCTGATTACATTGTTGAATGGATGCCATATGAAAGTTTCGGTGATATAAAATATAAAACTAAAGGTGGATGCTCTTCTATTTATAATGCTATTTGGAAGGATGGAAGATTTGATATGTGGGATAAGCAAAATCGTCAGCTTAAAAGAGCTGGTACCCAGCATGTCATTCTTAAGCGTTTGGATCATTCGAACGGATTAAATAAAAAATGGATAATTGAGGTTAGTTGTTTGCTATTTATATGTTATATTGACGATTATTTGCTTTACTACAATAATATTTATATTTTTTAGTTCAGATCACACTTAAACTTTATGAATAAAATCGCTTATGTTGTTCGTTGCCATGGAATAACCTTGGACCCGAATACACAAGATTTCATGTTAGCATTGAATCTTATGGAATGTAGTTTGCGGGAATATTTACTACAAAATAACAAATACATTCTATGGGAACAAAGAATTAGGATAGTTTATGATATTGCATATGCTTTAAATATGATGCACCAATTAGACACTATTCACAGAGACCTACACTCTGGTAATATCCTCCAAACTAGGTTTTCAAAATGGTGGTTTATTAGTGATTTTGGTTTATATGGCTCTATAACCCAAGAACAAGGGGGTGTATATGGAAACCTTCCTTATATTGCTCCAGAAATACTAAATGGTAAACCAGCAACAAAAGAATCAGACATTTATAGCTTTGCAATGTTAATGTGGGAAATATTATCCGGTATACCACCATTTCAGAGTCGTAACCATGATTTTAGTTTAGCTTATGATATTTTAGAAGGTATTCGACCACCAATTAATGAATCTACGCCATATTGGTATACTAAATTGATGAAACAATGTTGGGATGCTATTCCTGAAAATAGACCCAATACGAATACAATATTAAATGAAATAAGGATGCAATTACGAATAATTTATCAAAATGAATTAAAAAATAACAACCCTATTCAGATTGCAATAAATAATAGCGGAAACATTGAAAATCAAACTTATTCACCAGAATCAACTGTAAATAAAATATATAGGTTTAAAGATCTACCCGAACCGCGAAATAAAATTCAAGGTAATTTATTTGAATTATTTTTAGCAAATATAATTTTAGGCAGGTGTTAACTTCAGGCACGATATGTATATTGTATATAAAGTAAATTTAATGAATAGATATTCAGAGTAACTACTTTGTTTTGTATATAAATTGTTTAATTTAAATTAACAACTTTTTAATTTAAATGTTTAGATTATGACTTTAATGACGATTATTCCATGAGTATCAAGGAATTATTAAAATGTAAAAATCATTTATTTATGTTTAGACGCATAAATCTTACGTTTAATGAACGCTAATACATATTTATTGATAGATTTTACGGATGATGATGAATTTTTCGACTTATTTGAAGCATAATTGCGTTTTATAAAACTAATGCCGTGGCGAAGCCATGGTCAAATAAGCTAGTATAGACCAACAAAGTGTAGTAAAATAATCGAGTGCTCAGATAAAGTGCGTAGATAATTAACGTCATTGCCTTGTTCTTCATTGTGCTTATTTGGAAAAATAATTTGAATTCTATAAAACCTACTTTTATATAGTCTTTAAAAACTGATCCTAATAAACAAAGTTTTACTTCGTTGTGCACAATTTGGTTTCTTTGTTCACAAACATACATATATTTCTAATAATAATATTCTGCGTCAGCAAAAGATTTTGTCAATTAGTAATCGACACGCCAAATTCTTTTAATAATTTTGGATATTAAACTTATAATAATTCAAGTTTGTTAAAAATTCAATATTATGTTTTATGTTTATAAATGTAAGGTTCATTAAACTTTTCATATTGTCTTTATATTCATGAAATAAAAAAACTGGCTTGTATATTTTATACTATGCATAATTTCATTTTAATATGATGTTATTTTAATCTGTCACATTAAGGCGACTTGAAATTAAAACCTCGTTTAACGTTATTTTTTTAAAAAATTTGCATGGGGGGGAGGGGAAAAATTAAAC